AAGCATTTTCTGATTTTGACAAACTTTAAGGTAGGCGCGGACCTATACATTAAATTTTGCAAAACCTGAAGTAATTTTTACTTTAGTATCATTAAGTTTTCACGAGGGTAAATCATTGTAATCACTTGCAAAGATCTCTGACCAAAGTTATACTGATGAATTTTAACGGAAATTCATGAGAAGTGTACTTTTTACATTGCCGCGTTGAAAGCCTCCTAAGTGAAAGCTCGCCAAGTCGAATTGTGTAGGGATCGACAAAAAAGTCGACTTAAGCAGCAATTTGTCTTAACCGATTCTCCACTTAACTTGTGACGTGTCTATAGGGACCGAAAAAAAATCGACTTAATCGACATTTCGTCTTAACCGTGGTTCGACTTAGCGAGCTTTTACTGTATATCGTCCCATTTTTACGATGTACACCATATTATATGGAAAGACAGTAAGCCTTTGATTGTAGCCCCATTTGAGATATCTCAGAAACCTTCAATTAATTTTAAATTAACCTAGAGAAGCCCTCGCGAGGTGAATCATTTCGCACCAAGTCGTCCAAAAATTGAGAAAAGCTCAAAGTCCAGGGATGCAGCTCACCAGATATTATTGCGTGGCTACGAGCGATGGATATCGGCCGATACCGAAAACACCTGTTTACGATGATCATTACCTGCTCTGATGCAAACCAAGGGAGAGTGGTCGTACCTGTTTGGAAATCCTTGCTCAATCAGTCATCCTCTTTGAGTCTATCATTACTGACACGCATTCCTCAATTGCTAATCAAACGGTTCCAGTTTTTTTTCTCGGCTGTTTAGCTTGGCTACCGATCCAATTGAAATTCTAACGCATGCCCTCACGTAAAAAAAAAGTTTATCAAAATAACTAGTGCTTGTTCCACCGTTATCATCGTGCATTGGTTAGGTTTAGCACAGAATGCTCGCTTCCATGGCACCTTTTATGTTTGATTTGTAATTTTCCCCATGTTTTTAAACTATTTACTGGATTTGACCAAAAACCCGTACAAAAAATTAAGTACCAAAAATAAAATAAGACAAAGGAACTTATTTACGAGCTAATAGAATAAAATATTTTTGGCAGATGCGTCTCGGACTTTGGCACGTCTCCTATGAAATTCACACCTTAAAGCCCGAAACTCTATTTACAAAGTGCAAATACTCTATGTTCGTGCAAATAAATTAGTTTTTATTACTCTATTTTTGTACTTTTTTATGAGAATGAACTTCTTTGACTGTATTCTTCATTCAGACTTATCAAAATTGAATGTGACTCTGCCACTGATCCTTGATTCCTTTGCGAGCTATATGAGTCTAAATTGCGGGTGTGTTATGATGCCCGAACACATATTACACAATCAAAAGTCTCATCGTACGTGCATGTAGGTATATGCGCTCTTTGACCCCTAAATTTTTATATTTCGCCATAGTTTGCTCCAGAGATTCTCATTATTTTTCTCGCCATTGGCATAGGGAATAACCTCTTCTACATAAGCCCAATTTAAACATAAAACAGGCTCATTCCCCCATAAAAAGTAAAATAGAACGTAAACTTTGCTAAGCCCTGAATTGGCGTTTTTGCAGTGAAAGTTACCTTAGTATCAATATCTCCTTGCGTTTTTTTTCTTTCTTTTTTCTTTTTTCTCCGGAAACTTTGCCCTGGAGATACAATCGCATCTAGTTGGGTGATGGCTGAATACAATCAGAGATCCATGTGGAATCATCACCGTGTAAATATATGCCTGTGTAATGAGTAGCTGGTGGCTCATTACATTAAGTTTTTTCTCATCTGTTCGTCGAGAAGTTCCTTGTTCCTCTTGAAAAGAAGAAAAAAATTGTATGAAAATGGTGAAAATAAAAACTTTCACCCCGCATTAAGAAGCTATATCATGATGACTGTGCTCCACTACCATTTGATTAAGACGCGAGTACGTAATTAGATTGGCGAAATTTGCATCTTCGTGATTGTGCAATGTCAGAGGGAGTTGATTGATTTTTTACATCCTGATCATATGTAAAGCAGCTGGAAATATAAGATGCCCCATAATGCTTCCCAACTTATTTTCAGTGTATTTGCTTAAAATTATCTATCCTCCGAAAATAAATGTTGCACCAAGGTATCGGGTTCATGAACAGAAAATTGCATTGTTAAAATATTAAGATTTTTCAAAATTTTTTGTATTCATGTAATTCCTCCATACCTTGAAACAGCATGTTTCTGCACTAACAGTTGTAATCTAAGTACATGAGTGCTGGGGATCAATATCTCTAAATTCATCAATTTTCTCAAAACTAGAAACATTGTCGGGAGGTCACAAATGGTAGCTGTAAAATGATTTCCTACATTTTGTGTCCGCAATTCTTATTGTTACTTCGACTTGTAGAAATTAGTTTTGAAAATTTCAAAATTTTTATATGAGCGCTCATATGCATGATCGCTATTAGCCTTTAAACAATCGGATTGGCATTTTTATCTTAATTTCAAATATATTTTTCGATCAAGATTTTAGAGCATTACAAAAAGTAACTCATAATTTACAACCGAATGAGAAAATCTGTTCTCTTTTATACTAAACGCAGATGGATTTATATGATCATTTCTTCAAAGTGAATGATTAGCAGCCATAATTGCGCACGGATAAAGAGAGGAATAAGAAAGATGGACACACCTGACGGCATGACCTAACTAGATGTTTGATCAAAATTTAAACATGTATCTTTCCCGAAAGGCGTGGTTTATTACACAGAAAAATTATGTTTTCAGGGCCTGAATATATGTCTCGTTTACTGGAAATTCTGTTCTTCTTTAACGTTAAGTGGGATTGTATTTACGATGTTTGAGACCAAACCAACGCATGACGTACAATATTATGACTGAATTCCTGCGACTAAAAGTTCGATTATCATTGATTATTATCATCTTATAATTTATTCGTTCCCAATTCTTAACCAAGTTTTATTGATTGACCATTTTTTCTAAAGATGGGAACATTGGAAACGTAAAAAAAGGATGAACGTTCCCAATGGACTGAATTGAAACAATATCGGAAGTCTTAATAGATTAGAAACTGTGAATTAATTAGGTATCGAAATTTGAATAGAAGCCAAAACAGAAAATCAACCGATATTATTTCAGTTCAAACAGTTTAATTATAAACCGAATTTTGAAAGAGGACTTTACCGGGAACTTCAAAGTGCAATTGTGAATTTTGAATCTTAGCTACAATTATTACGATTGAAAGCAGCATCAATTTAGATCAATCAAGATACTTTGGGTCGACTATTTCCTCTCAAGTGGGTCTCTAATATTGTGGCGTATTTTATGTTGATGATTTGGTGGATTCTACGGATTGGAAAAATTCAAAACAACATTTACAGGAAAAAAACTGACGAAATTTTAATTCTTATCAGTTTTTAACGGTAGGTACAAAGTTTATTTACAATTATCTTATTTTAAACATTTTATAAACACAGGTATGATAAATCATTTTTTAAAAAAACATCTTAATGGTGCAAGAAATTGAATGGTAACTTCTAATGAGTATTCAAATGCTAAAAGCTTGGAGCAAGTATGCTCAGTATAATTTTTTATCAGTCTGTAAGACAATTTTTGGATAATTTTATAGAAAATACAGTCATTGGTATGGATACATTTTTGAATATTACTGTAGAATTCATAAGTACTGCACTGTTGAAATATGAAGCCTATATTACGGGTTTGTAAATTAACGAAAAAGCGGGCAAAACTGTCATAATTGTAAATTAGGTATTTTGTTATTCTGTCTGTTTTTTTAATGCACCGATTAAAAATTATAAAATTGATTTCTTCCAAAAAATTTGTGATATGGTAACTTAGAATTTGAATCCCTGTAGAGAACATTACATACATAACAAATTCAAGGTAAAAAATGACAAATCAAGGAACATTTCATGAAGCTGTCCTGAATGGCAACTGATGAGGACATTTTGAAAAACAGCTCTGTTTTCTTTTCTTTTTTTTTAAGTTTTTCGACTTACAATATCCATGTATACCTTCAATAAATGCGTTCAATGCGCATTAGAATTTGCAAATTCTGATTTAGAAAAAAGCGCAGTGTAATTGCTTCGCATTTCACAAAACTTGAGATCAGAAAATTTTTTGAAAATACCTTAAAACTTGATTCCACGCATTGCTAAATAATTTCGATGGTTAACCTAAATTTCTTTTGATTTAGCTCATATTGAAATGTTTGATTTGATTGAAGGTATCCAATATTTTACAAGTTTTGGTATTTTGATTTGCAAAACAAAAGAAAGCTAAAAATGCAAGAAGAAACCGTCGACAAAAAAGTTGTAAAAATGCTACAGATCCACTCATTCCAAACAACACACTTTTATCACTTATCACTTTTAGCTTTGCATCAAATTTTGAACCCGTATGTATTTAAGAAAACACAGAACTTTGAAGACGCATGGCAACGAAAAATGTCCCTCAAACACAGACACTCGCACTCAAAAAGTTAAGAAATTACTTGTATCGCCGGGATAAAGTATTCCAACCTGAACTATACGAGTCTCAAATATCCGCTCTCTAAATGTTTGTTATGACGTCGAAGCAAATAAAAACCGGATGATGAACTGTTTGGTTTCTGTAGAGGGTCTTCTTGCGATGGTTTCGGTATTTCTATCGTCTTCAACTTCTGGTCCTAAAGTGATACTTTTAGGATACTTTGAGCGTGTTTACCAGCCGTGTCCAGCAGCGACGGAGTTGTAGCTATAGCTGCTTCCGTAGTGGGCCAAATCACCGTATCCATGAGCGGGTTCATGGGCCTTAACTGGGACGTAGACGGGCTTCTCGACCGGTACGTGAACGGGGTAAGGCTCCTTGACGGGCACCTTGACCGGGTAAGGCACCGGCCTTTCGACGGGGTATGGCACAGCCTTCTCAACAGCCACTGGGTATGGCTTGATGACTGGGTAAGGCACAGGTCGGTCAACAGCAACCTTCACAGGTACAGGAACTGGCTTCTCGACTGGGTACGGCACAGGCTTCTCAACCGGTACATGAACGGGGTACGGGCGGTCAACGGGCACCTTGACGGGCACAGCGATGTGCTTCTCGACCGGGTACGGCACTTGCTTCTCGATGTAGACCGGGTAGGGCTTCACCACCGCGTAGGGCACCGGACGGTCCACAGGGACTTTAACGGGCACTGGAATGTGTTTCTCGACGGGGTAGGGGGCGGGCACGTGGACTTTCACAGGGACATGCACTTCTTTTTCAACGTGGACGGGGTAGGGTGCTGGGACGTGGACGGGGTAGGGGCGGTCGACGGGGACTTTGACGTGGACGGGGACCGGCACTTGTTTCTCGACGTGGACGGGGTACGGGACGGCGACCTCCTTGTTGATGGTGATGGTCTTGTCTATGACGTGGCCGTATCCGTGGCCGTATTCGAGGCCGTGGCCGAAACTGCCGTGGCCGAAACCGCCGTAGAGGCTCTCGCCGCCGCCGTAACCGTAGCCGAAGCCGCCGAAGTCGCCGAAGCCGCTGCGCTTCTGCTTGTCGCCGCCCTCCTGCTTGGCGGCCTCGTCGGCGAGGACGAGCGCAACACTGAACACTAAGACACAGAAAACCCTCATTTTCGAAACGGAGGTGGCGCGTGGATGGAACGAGTGGAACTGATGGGGACGCCGCCCGGCCGGGGCTTTTCTATCGGGCGACGAGGAAGTCGCGCGCCCCTGCCAGTGCCCCCTCCACCGGCGCCACCGACCACGGGGCGCCAGCGACAATTCTCATTCGATCAGATTCGGGAAACTAGATTCAGCCGCGTAAACAACGGCCAACGGCCCCGCGAGACTGACCGGCTGCTCGCGGTTTTGCCAGATTATCGTGTTAATTTGCATTACTCCGTAAAAGGACGCGCTTTTAAGCAGTTTATTTTAAACATGGCTTAGAGACAAAAAACCTCACAAGGCATTACTTGCTTAAGCCGAAATGATGTCAATCGTTTGAGACATTTTTTGCGCTCGAGCATTTTTTAAAATGGAGGGTTCGTTCGGTATTCAGCATCCGTGTCAAAGCCACGGTCGGTTTTGGCTGCAAATTCCTCAAATGGAACAGTTGATGTCAGCGTGTCAGCTCGTAATCTGGGGATTTAACGAATCAATTAAAGGTTCAAGTTTGTGGTGATATTGAGATTCATAGGGGGGGGGGGGGGGGAGTTGTTCCAGGCTAAATTCCGTATTTTCTCGAAATGGTACCCAAAAAATAATTTCTAAACGAAAAGTATTTTTATCAAGTTATAAAGCTGGTTGGCATATAATTTAATGAACATTAGTACCTAGTTTTCGTTAAAAAAAAAGAAAAAAGGGTCTAAACAATCACATTTAACTTCAACGAGTCTCATCAAAATTAAAAGTTTCACAGTTTGGTTTAGTTGAAAAGCTCGATCCCATGAACGCTCTAACCGAAATATAGAAACCGAGTATAGTTATACTAATATAGAATACCGCAACATTAGCTCAGAGATCGAACTTTTTCTTTCAAAATATAGAAGGATTAATCGATAAATCTATCAAAGAATTTATGTACCACTCGAGGACCGTCTAGTGACTCCGGCTTTGAACAGGCAGTGAACAACTCTTTTCGAGGGTGCAGAATTATAGGCGGATCCCCTCACACGGAAAAAAGTTTCAGGTGTTATACCCTAAAAATGTGGTACTACCCCAATTTGTTGAATAACATGAACATTTCCAATTGATTTTGGTAGTACTACAATTCAAGTTGGGTTGGTACCGCAACATTTAAATTAGTAACCTAATTTCTTAGGGTACTGCCACAATTAATTGGAGCACCACCACGATTAATCGGACATTTCCAAGTTGGAACTTAAGCCCTATCTTCTTTCCGCGCAAAAGAAAGAAAATAGGAAAGCACGGAGGAAATCAAAAGGAAGGCTGCTTTCATTTGGTAATTTTATATGCCGAAATTGGCGCAAACATGCCTATTGAGGGTTACGGAACAATACCGCCTAGCTGACAATTTTGGTCAAAACAAGTTAGCGACTGTGCCGCATTTTACTGTTTAAAATACGCATACTCTGATAATATTACTTTTTTTTTCAATTCTGAATAGGAGCGCTTCAATGACATTGTCATTTACGAAAAAATTGCAAATTCACACGGAGAAAAATCTATGACTTAATAAACCTACTAGTGGTTCATATGGAGCACCACTAATAGTCGTAAATGAATTGATGATTCTTGGTCTGTGAACCATACTAAGATATCTCGCACCATACTAAGGTATAAATGCCGCATTATTAAGGTTTATATGCCACTAGTATATGTTGTCTTTACTACTATTAGTGGTGTTCCATATGAATCAATTATTGATTTAAAAAGCCATAGGTTTTCTCAGTGTAATCCTAAAATTAAAAAATAGCAAAGTTTTCTATCCCCTCCACGAAATCGTCAGTTTGCAGATAGATGGTATTGTTCTCTAGCCATGGACATTAGACTCTTGAAATTTAGAAATTTAGCTGCTTTTCATCCCTGGAGGACCACCAAGTGATCTCTCTCTTCACTATCATATATTTTACTAATTTAGAGGCTAGACAAACAGGGTCTCGGCCCCAGTCAAAAGATAGAGGAAAAAGAAGAAGAAATTTAGAAAATTTCTTGCAGGTAGCCACACTGGAAAAAAAATACACATTGGATCTAGAGTCCAGACTCTTAAAAAACATCGACAAGAAAAATACTCTTCATTCAATCAGATCTAAGCTTAAATCAAGAACCAAGCCTCTTAATTTGGGCGGATTTCCTTTTGATGTAAGCTTAAATCTGATTGAATCAAGAGTCCTTTTTCTTGTCAATGTTTTCAAGAGTTTGGACTCTAGAAACAATGTCTTTTTTTTTCCAAAGCATCCGAGCCCCTCTTGCCCTCCCCCCCTCCCGTTCAAAAAGTCTGTATTCGTCTCGGTGCAGAATGAAGAATATCCCGAGGGATAACGTCTTACGGATGTCGACCACATGGCACCTATGGAGTTCACCACTCTGCAGATGACAGAGGTTATGTCACCGACAAGTGTCCTGCCAATAACCGCTTTTTCTCATCACCTAAGGATGAATTGTCCGCGCTCCTGATAACGGTGCGCTAGGCGCGGGGTGGAGCGGGGCCGCGCGCCGCCGTGGACACTAATAATTACCCGATGAATGGAATGATTTCGTTAAGCATCTCATCTATGCACCTATGCCCGAGCGCCAGCGTGCCGCGATCTGTGCTAACTCTTTCATAAAGCTCAGTGGTTTCCAGCCGGGTTGCAACGAGCGGCGCGGCGTCCTGACCCGGTCACCGCTCCGCCAACCGGGGAAAGTTCACCAGGAATACCGCAAACGGCCAAGATACATATTCACAGTTCTCAGAATACTCCCACTCTCGGTTCCAGCCTTTGCGGACAGAGTCCAGCCACGCCGGTCTTCATTCCTCGTCGAGAATCCACAGAACTGCGTCCAAGATCTGCCGTGACCAAAAACATAAAGACGGAGTGCTCGTATCTAAAAGCATGGGGAAGAGGTGAAGCCATTTTGGCGCTGTGAAGCCATGCGCGGGAAACGAAATTTGATTTGAACTTGTCCTCTTGATTTTTCTACCTACATTTTTTCTACTAGATTATTTGCCTAAAACGGACAAATTAATAAAGTTGGGATGGTGACTTTATATAATAAACCTATTTTGGCTTGGTAACAAGGAGGAATCTTACAGGATTCTCAGGTAAAGTAAGTTTTTCTGTTGCTCTAACCGATAGGAGAGGTGACTTCATTTTCTTCTTCTAGCGTTCCGTCTTCATGTCTTTGTTGAGAATCCACAGAACTGCGTCCAAGATTAGAGTTAGGGAGAATATGGACGACTCGTTGTATACAGCTCTTAGGGCCCAAAAGGGTGACAACGTGAAAAACGAAAATCACCGGAAATGTGCTGCTGCCAACTTATGCATTTGAAAGATTCATCAGTAGGGCCGACAGCGCATTGTAAACAAGCGTTTTCAAGGATTAAGACTTTAAAACTAAAAAAATTTATGCGAAATCAAAATTTTATACGTTCTTTTATAATTTTTGATGAGTGTAACTACTCTCGTAGTTTAAATTAGTACCCCTGCCCTGGTTGATTCGAGTTCATAGGTTGGCTGCCTTTTTGGGCCCCAAGAGCTACGTGACCTGATCAAACCCAAGTTGTCCATACTCTCCATATAAAAATACTCTATCCAACATCTGCCGTGCTATCGAAGAAAGCTGTAAGTGAAAAAATGGGCTCAGAAGCCTCGGAACAGAAAATTTTATTGGAATAAGAAGCCTCCGTTCTTTGTCGAATTGCCACCAATTATCCGAAAGACTCTTAAAAATAGTTTAGATGATTAAATATTGACCAATTTCATTTCCATTATATCAAGATAATATTATTCATTTTGATGTCAGGCTAGTTTTAGGCAAGACAGCCGTAAGTGCTATCTTCCGTATGCATTCGTGGTTGCATTTTAGACATACAACAAACACATTTACAGGTTATAAATTGGCAGGGGAGGGCGGAATTTTACTTAAAAGCTCTGCTTTTATCTGGTTGGTCAGAGAATTGGCGCCCGGTGAAAGTGCAAGTTTTCTAAAATTTTTCTCCCTCATCATGTAATTTTAAACAGTTTCTGATAAAAAGAAAAAAAACAAAAAAAAGAAAAAATTTGACAAAATTTGTAGTTGCTTAGGTTCTTGATTGAAAGGCATATGGGAAACGATGAATATACAGCATTTAATTTTATATTTCTTCGGATATAGGATGGTTCTTTGACGCACCGTTCGTTAAAGTCTCCGAGTTATAGTGTCCTGAAGTCGTCATCAGGACTGCGAATCAGTGGCGATTTTGCAAGTTGGCAACGCTGTCTTTCCTCCATTTAAGTCCATTGAAAATATCGATTTTAGGTGACGGAAGCGGCCTCAGCAGGAATCTTTTATTTAGGAACATTTAAAAGGAGGATAAAGCGTGTTGCCATCTCACAAGAATTGCCACTGATACAAAATATCCCCATCCCCGGGTTAAGCGGCCAACCCTTTCAGCCAGAAATTTCCCAAATCGAAGCTAAGTTCTCTAAAATTAAAGGGAACATATTCACCTCTCAGAATTTTGGTCGTGGTTATGAACCAAAACTCTTGATGAACGGGTGTTTCTTGTAGTATTCAGCGCTAACATCTTTTTTAAAATTTCAATTGAGAAAATAAAGAAAGTGTGATGTTCATTTCTCAACTTCGTGAAGGCAGTGATTAATACTCGTATTATTATATCATTATTAGAGCCCTAGAACCAAAAGGTACCTAGCTTTCATTTTTAGAAAAATCAAAATACAGACGTTTTGGAAATCTCCATTAACGGTTTCGTGTGGGCGGAAAACTTGGTAGCCCTATCTTACGCCGGATGTTGGAATTTGCTCATCCAAAATTTTGATTGTCAACCAAATTTTCATATCATAAGACGAAAGCGTCAAATGGTCCCAACGTCGTGTCTGGTTTTTTTTAACAGTGTAGATAACTCGGGCAGTTTTATGGTTTCAATCTTTTAGAGTGTCACAATCAAATCAGTGTCCAACTCATTTCGAGAGCAGTTTGCTAACGGCATGCTTTTATGTTAGGCACGGAAGTTCTGAAAGGAGGAAAGTAAAAAAAGAGGTCCATTGCCCCTCTTTTTTCCTGGTTCCTTTTTTCCCCATTCACTCCGAAGCCCGAAGCACGTCTCCTATCTACGTTAATTAGGTAACGAATCAAGATAGCGGCTTGTCTCAGCTCAACCATGGGCGTTAATTTAAAAAAACAAAAAATAAAAATAAGACAAACTGACTTTGGTGTGCCTATTTTAATGATATGAATGCAATTTAATCAACATTCGAGAATTTCGTTTTAATTTTGAAAACAATTTTTTTAAAATTTATTTATTTTTAAACCAGTTCTCCAGTGTGCAGACTATTCAGTTTTCCAAATTACTGATTGCCTTTTATTTTCATATTTTTATTCCCGATTGTTTAGTGTGATTTCCTCTTAGGTTAGACTTCTTCAAGAGCCTGACTCAAAATTAGACACATGTTTTGCTTTGAAAAAAGGACAGGGAGAAGAAAAAGAAGAAAAAAATCGTTATCAGTCTGCGGAGAATAACAAATGCATAGTTTTTAATCGAGTCATTGGTATGAGTATGCATTTGTTTTTGTTGTACTTTGTTTTGTTTTTCTATCTTGAGTACCGTGGGGTTAATATTTTTTAAGTTTACTCTAAAAAAGGTTACGTGAGTTGCGAGGTAATGCAAATGAAATGATATTTTAGAAAAAATAATTGCAAATGTCTTAGTGTGTTTTGGGGAGTGAATGGAAGGAGCCAAAGGAAAGTATGTTGTATTCGTGTTTCACCTAAATTTTTCTGATTCTGAGTTAGCTGTCGTTATTAAATGAACAATCGTTGGATTGTTTGGCGCTATTGACAGTTTATTTTTACCAAACAAGAAGAAAGAAAAAATCCGAGTTTTAGTGAGGCTCCTCATGATTTTTGAAGCCTTTCTTTTTCAACATTCATTCCACAATTTTTCATTCACATGGAAAAATAATTATTACTTTCTTTAACACACTAGAACAATAGTTTTCACAAGTATTAAATGGAATTATTTTTGCAATCAAGCGAACTATTATTTATTACTCACTCATAAAAGTACTTGTTTACGTAGGAAGAACTAATTGTAAATTATGTTGTTCCTAAAACGAGCGAGGAATGGTAGTTCCTTACTGCAGAGTACAGTTCAATTATTCTGCATGCGGATACTTTGAGTGGTCTCTTTGCTGATAGTGAAGAACCGATATCCTTCAATCATGAATTCATTTTTGTAAAAACGTCATTTAATGCATTCCTATTTTCCTAGAACTCACTGCTTGAGAAACAGACCACTTAGCGGTAAAGAAATAGGAAAAATATAAACAAACAAAGTTATTCAAATAGCTTTTGATTTTATTCTTCGAAATTAGTAAACAAGAAGCTAAACTTGGACTTTTTAAAACGATGAATTCATACCAACAATACACTCAACTTTTCTTCTTTGTGAATTTATTTAAGAATAACTTTCCTTGCAATTTTGAAAATTTGAAATTCTCATATTTCGCAAAAACTTGTTAAAACATTTTTAGAATGAAATTTCAAAAATGAAATATTGAGTTGAGATCTAAAATCTCTTGATTGCTGTCGCATGTTTCTCAAAATATTTGTTAAACCATTTTTTCTGACAGCGTTAATTTCAGGAAAATAGAAAAAATGAAAGGAAAAACAAGCATATAATGGAACAAAAACAGACGAAATTTTTATTTCACTTCAATTTTAAACGTTAGATATAAACTGTATTTACAAATATCACATTTTGAACATTTCATGAACAAATATTTATTCAATTGTTCTTAAAAAATGTTCTGAATTATTGGTACAAAAAATGAATGGTAACTTTGATGAGTATTCAAATTAAAAAATGTAAAATAATGTTGCTCTGCATAATTTTGGATCAGTCTTCGCAAAGAATTAAAGGGACGGTCAAAGCAAGCGATCAAGTTAGTCTCCAAAAACCAGTGAAAAAATATATAATATATTTTTGTTTGGAATCGCATGATAAAAAACTGCCTTTTTGCACTGAGAAAGGGACACGGTGTTTTTGTAACTTCCACTCTTAACGTAGAAAAATTTAACAATTGTAATAATTTTGATAAAACTTTGCTTTCTCTCATATTTTCGCGAATCATCATTTGACGCAACATTGGTTACTACTATCTCATGATTCTTGAATTCAATGGGATAAGTTAAATTGATTCGCAGAACAAGGAATAAATTGAGTAAAACCGGGATGAAAAAAATTCCATTAATGCTACATTTTATGAATGATCCAATTGATCCACTCACTCCAGAGCGACACACTTTTTAAGACTTATCACTTTTTATGCGTCAAAAGAGCCCCCATGTTAAAAAACACCTGGTTTGGACCTTTACGACTGCAAAATAATAAAATTATTTTGAAGTTGGACAATTACTGTCAAAAAAGTATGATTACCTCGTATGACCGCGAAAATGAATTCTAGGTTGCACTGTATCTGTCTTAAACATTCACTTCTTCCGGTGTTCACTTGTTGAGGCTGTCCTAGGAACACTGTTGGAAATGCACGGGTCTGTCAACACTGTAATGTTGAAGTGACATGCTGCGGAGATCATGATCGTGATTGCGTTTACCATCCGTGTCCGTATCCGTGGGAGGGTCCGTGGGACTTGACTGGAACGTAGACGGGCTTCTCAACCGGTACGTGAACGGGGTAGGGCTCCCTGACGGGCACCTTGACCGGGTAGGGCACCGGCCTTTCGACGGGGTATGGCACAGCCTTCTCAACGTGGACTGGGTACGGTTGTGGGACATGGACAGGGTACGGTCTGTCGACTGGGACCTTCACCGGGTACGGGACATGCTTCTCGACTGGGTAAGGCACTGGCTTCTCAACAGGAACATGGACCGGGTAGGGACGGTCGACGGGGACTTGGACAGGGACAGGGACGTGCGTCTCGACAGGGTAAGGGACTTTCTTTTCAACGTAGACTGGGTAGGGTTTGGGTACGTGGACGGGGTAGGGCCTGTCGACGGGGACTTGGACGGGGTAGGGGACGCGCTTCTCGACGGGGTAGGGTGCAGGGACGGGGACTTGGACAGGGACGTGGACTTGTTTCTCAACGTGGACGGGGTAGGGAGCGGGGACTTGGACGGGGTAGGGGCGGTCGACGGGGACTTTGACGTGGACGGGGACCGGGACTTGTTTCTCGACGTGGACGGGGTACGGGACGGGGACCTCCTTGTTGATGGTAATGGTCTTCTCGATGGAGTGGCCGTGTCCGTAGCCGTATCCTAGGCCCTGGCCGTATCCTAGGCCCTGGCCGTAGCCGCCGTTGAGGCCGTTGAGGCCCTGGCCGAATCCGCCGAGGCCGCCGTTGAAGCCGTGGCCGCCGCCGAGGCCATAGCCGAATCCGCCGAAGTCACCAAAGCCGCTTCGCTTCTGCTTGTCGCCGCCCTCCTGCTTCTCCTGCTTGGCGGCTTCGTCGGCGAGGACGAGCGCAACACTGAACACTAAGACACAGAACACCCTCATTTTCGGAGGTGGTGGCGCGTGGATGGAGTGAGTGGAACTGATCGGGATGCTGCCGTGCTGGGGCTTTTCAATTCGGCGAGGAGGAAGTCGCGCGCCCAACTCCCTCCCCCGCTGCCGCCGACGATGGGTCGACCTTGCTCGCGCAAATTCACTCGAGCAGATTTGGGAGACTGGATCCAGCTGCAAAAAATAACGGTTCCTCTAGACTGCACTGGCCAGATGCAACATTTGACACATTGCTCAATGATATGAAAAGAGGGGATTTAGAGAGCGGGAGAGAAAGAATGTGGGCGGATGCAATATTTACTCAACTTTTGTTTTTGACGTGTGAACCACGTGATGATCGATCCGATCCTTTCTTTCCATCAATGGTGGTGGTCCGCAGTATTTTGCCTTGAGCAGCCGCGTCCGGAGTATCTTAGAACTCGCCGTGCCGAACCCATTTAAATTTTTTGAACCTGGTGACAATCCACAGAGTTCAAGAAACGCATATTTTTTTATGGATACCAGTGCCCGTTCTATTCCTTGTCTCCCTTCCCTCCCTAGTGGCATTTTTTAACAGAAAAATTGCGATGTTTTGAAATTAAATTGCGATTATCACGAGTTTTGACAATAAAGTCGCTAGGATCATCATAATCCAAGCGCTTATCCTGAATCACGTCACAATTTTATCTTTGCATAATCGCGACCGATAAAATCAAAGTTACATCTCTTTTTAACAAGATTTTTTGTTCGAGTATATTACGATAAATCGTCGTAGATATAATCGCGATTTTATTGCAAATGTTTGCGATGAAATCGCAATTCACCGCAATTTTTTATATTTTAATATTGCAATTTATCGACGCCGATAAAATCGCGGTACATTCTCCGATCAAATCGCAACTTATCGCGATCGCTGCTCCTTCAAGTAACTAAAACACAAAACTCTGACTTTACGTAATAACTTAATTTCGTTAAGTTAGAGTTTTGTGTGCTTATTCTGAAGAAGAATACGTGAGTTCAGAGGTAAATAAGAAAATAGACCTCCTATGACAGTAACCCTTTAAAACAAACCAAACACTATTATCAGACCTAAAACCATTCGCACGCAGAGCAAAATAAATTAAAGAAACTCAGTTAACACATTTTTCTTCGTTTATCCCGAATGAAATAGTTTCATTTCGATATATTCCCTCTTTACACACTTCAATTTTGATATTCTCGGTCCATCGAGCCCCCGTATGTCGGTTATTGCCGCGATCAGACGCTGAATTTAGCACCTGAATGTGGAAGTCAACAGTCATCGCCCAACGGCTGAAATTTAGCAAATTCGAGTTATTTTCATCCAGATGTGTATCAAATCTACTCGAATAGTTCAGACAAATTCAAAATTGGTCCGATGGTTGCTGAGAATCGTTGCTGAATTTTGCGCGTCACGCGCAAAATTCAGGCATCGGGCCGATGACTTCCACATTCAAGCCACATTCAGCTCCCACATTCAGCATGTGATTGCGGTTTATGGAAATGAGATGACTATAGCGCAGCGTCATTCTAAAAGTAGCGGGTCATCCGAGTCATTTAGCAATTTCAGTGACAGTACGCCCGTTTTACATAATCAAAATTTCAAAAAGTCGGTCAAAAGACGGAAAATTCAAAAGACGTCGGATAAAGAAATTTCCGTTTTTTGTAACGTTTTTGTCTTTTCTAACAGTCTCAATAATATAGACATTTCGGGGTCATCCATAAATTAAGTAAGGCACTTTTTTCTATTTTTAGACCCCCTATCCCCCCTTGTAAGGCATCTCTTACCTCCCCTAAAAGTTACTTAAGGCTCGACTGACCCCCCCCCCTCCACCACTTTTTTGATGGACCAGTTGCGCTTGTGACAGAATTGTGTTTTGATGCTTCATTCTCGCAAATCAACTAAAAACAATAAGATTGTCCAAACAGCAACTCTTTACGTTCAATATTAACCGAGATATCGCGCCTTGAAAAAATCGATTTACGACGTCATTCACTGTGGTAGTCTGTATCATGTTATGCACTACCGCGGTGGATGACGTCAAAAACCGGACTTTTCAAAGGACGATTTACCATCGGTTAACATTCAACGTAGAACGTTGCTGTTTGGACAGATATTCTTATTTTCAGCCAATCAACAAGATTCAAGCATCAGAACACAATTCTGTGACCAACGCAACTGAGCCATTATTGCAGATTTAAGCATTACGCTTTTTTTTAGAAAAGAATAAAATTCTTGGGCCAAAATTTTTATTAGTGAAACTAAATTTTTGAAGTATGTTCATAGGAAATAATAATGATACAATAATTAGTTTAATCAATAAAAATACGTGGAGCAAAATTGAAGTTTTTTTTTGTCTTTGGAATAGTTAAAAGTATAAAGTTGACATAAGGATGATGTCACTACTCATCATCTCGTGGGTCGAAGAAGTGGGACAGAGAGATGACAGGAGCATGGCCCGATCGGTCAGCAATCGGTGTTTATTTGGCAAATCGGCCCCTTCTCATTCTCAGAGCCGGGGACACGTCTCATAACTGCAGTTTCCGCAAAAATTGGGATACTAATGATTTCAAGTAAAACTAGTTTTAATGCATATGCTGTCAAAAATTCGCTCCCGAATTCCAATTTTTAAACATCAAAAAGTCAGTTGTAACTGTCTTCCCGCCATAAGGATCCATGTAGTTTCGAAACTTCAAACACGTATTTCTTAGAATAGCAAAAACTGCTCTTATTTGACTTGTCCTCCCAAGCCCCTCATTTGAAACTTCTCACTCTCAATGAAACCCAAGTATATCGACAGTGAAACTGCAAAAATACGTATCTTTGTTGCAGTGTTTCGAAATCTCTGCTTCTTTTTTTATTTTTCAAAAGGAGACTGAACCATCATCATGGCTTAAAATTGTCGCAGAATCTTTTTCCAAAGAAAATAAAAATCTCTGAAATTTTCAAAAAAATGACGTTCAGTAATTTTCCATGTAGAAAATGGAAAATGAAGTATAAGTAGGAGTCTACAACGTTGCAAACCGAGATACACATTTCTGCAGTTGCACCATCGACATGGTTGAGTCTCATCGGTGAGATCAAACGGAACTTTATCCATTCTGACATGATCTCTGAGATCCATTAAAATACATGCATGACAGGGCTGAAGTCAAAATGGATATCGTCACTTTCCGGCTAAAGTATCACAAGCGCCATGCGACGTTTAAAACTTTCCGCCGCCATTTCATTTTTTCATGGAGAAATCGTTCATCAAAGCTGTCCGAAAATGTCATTAAACTTTCTTTGTGCTGCCGATAAAATTCAGTGAAATTTTCGAACAGATTCAACCAACATTTTCTCTGTAAAAAAAATAAAATGTCAGCGGAAATTTTAAAACGTCGTATTGCTTGTGATACTTTGACTGGAAGGTGACGATATAGTGATAAAGTACGTTCAATTCATGTTCATCATCGAAATACGGAGAGTTTGATGGACGCAATCAATCTTTCCATATTTAATTATTAAAAGAAAAAGAAAAAAAGCGTTTTTTGTGTCCGTCAATGTACACTTTCCGCTTGCGAAAAACCAAAGTCTACCCGAGTCAAATTGTGCACTGAACTAATTTCAGTTTTCTTCACTGCGAAAAAATATTCCCGTGTGCTGATTTATTATTGATAAGATTAGAGACGCTATGCATCAGAAAAGGTAAGGATTTTATGTGTGACCATGCTTTAGATGTTCGCCTGATTCATAGGTTGTTTTGCAATAGCTGATTTGACCTCATTGATGCTGGTTTTTTGACGGCTGAGAATTTATAATGAATTCACAATCTGCGGTATATACAAACTAAGGATGTTAATTTCCTCCTTATGACCGGATTTTGGAAGTTTTTGATGTGATCAACTATTTCTAAGTGAAATTTTGATGAGGAAATATACTTGTAAGACATAATTCTTATTGTCTTGAGGCCATACTCTCCGCTGTGTTTAATAGCTAGTTTCCTAGTCAAATTGTAAAATCTACCCATATACCCTCAGGTATAAAACTGATCCGTTAGCATTTCGTTTGAAAAAAACACGGAATAACAAGAAAATTGTTTAACTGCGGTGTTTGATGGGATTGCGCTTACTTAATTTTTCCGGCTAAAGCCGATCGTAACTAAAGTTTTCTTTACATCGCCCTCCTACTCCTCTGGAATTTGAAATTTCTAAAAAAAATACTTTCAGGTGCCAATGGCGTCTTTTTGGGAAAATTGATTTTTCGGAGAACGGAGAAGTCATGGAAAAAACTTTAGGCTATTCTCGGCTTTAACTGCAAAAAGCAAGCGAAAGCAAGTCCATGTAACGCCTAGATGAAATAAGTTGATTATTTTAGGCACAAAAAAGGCGGATCAGTTTTACATTGGGGGGGAGGGAGAGAGAAAATAAAGTCATTCGATCGAAACAACATCGTCATCAAACATGGTGGGGAAAAGAGTTAAGCCATGCTTACACAATTTTCTCAAAATGTTGCTAGGATTCGTCCATGATGAACCAATTTTCCGGAGAAATTCATTTACTTCGGAAAAGTTTATTTTTCAAAAAAACTCTGTTTTTATTGGAAAACGAGTAAGTATTGAAAAAAAACTAAGACGATTTAGTTATTGGGCGCCAGAAATTGTATAGATGTGAGCTGACAAATTCCTAGTGTTTGGAAAAAAATGCTGAGTTTTAGGAAAAGGAACAAAAACAGAACTTTTCAGAAAGCTTTTGATTTTATAAAGCAATTAGTTGAACTTACAACTTGTAAATCAAGAGGCTGGCGTGGAATTTTTGAAGAAAATTGGATCCATACCCATATTTACGCATTTCAAATACATCCTAGTGTATGTTTAGTGGCAATCTGAAGCTGAGCCTTTAGCCCTCAAAATTTGCAAATAACGTTTTTGGCAAAATGTTCCCAAATTATGTCAGCTTTGACAATTTAATATTACGAAAAAAGAATTAGGACCAATATACTGCCTCTTTGGGGGAGGCTTTCATTTTTTTTAAAAAAAAATACTCATATTTTTTTAAGATTTTGGTATGATAGGCAGTAATGGTGGATTAAATGGAAAGCAAAGAGAAGAAAATGAGGAAATGAATCAGGAATCGAAATAACTAAGTTTTTATTTCACTCCAGTTTTTATTGACAGGAACATATCGTATTTACAACTATCTGGTTTTGAACGCGCATTGACACAAGTTTATTGTATCGTTCTCGACCAATTATTTCAATTAAAATGAAAAAACCGTAATGGTGACTTCTGATAAGTTCTGTGATGAAAAAATGCGAGGCAGTTTTGCTCAGCATTGTTTTTTTTATCAGTCTTTGCAACAATATTTAATCACATTAAAAATGAAGATCTCTTGCATGGCACTACCCTCGATTTCTGCAACTTAGGATTTTTTTGACGGTAAAAGATTTACACCAGACACTATAATTGGTCATAGCCGATTAATGAATTCCTCTCATGGCATACATCGAGATGAACATGTGGCTGAACGCCCAAACTTGCAATTTTGAATGGGTTTTTCGAGAGTAATATCGTTTTTTTGGCCAGAGTACTAGCAAGTATAAAGGATGCAGTCTCAATATATCACTTTTGCAATACGTGAGAGATTATTCGTGGTTTAATCACTATGATGCTCCCTTGCAAAATGTGTCACAAAATACTTCGTGCTCGATAAAACATAAAAATGACAATTTTCGGGTACCAACTTCATGTTCACAACAATACGTCCCACCAGAGGGATTTGATGAATGGCTACAGCGAATTATTTTCTTCACGCGCCTATATTCTACGGTCAAAAAAGTTAGAGATGCAAATATCCAGGATAGGGCCAAAGAACTAAAAAAGGCGATTTTGAAATTTTAATGACACTTTATGGAAAAATTACTTACATATGATATATATCTAACGATAGTTGAACTCAATCTCGTCTGGTTAGATGGAATTTGAATTGCTTGAATTGATTGAGGTGTCTAGAATTCTACTAATTTGAGTAATTTGATCAGCAAAAAATGCAGAAAATAAAAAAAATAAAGACTATTATACTATATATATCCTACCGTTCCACTCATTCAAGACAACACACTTATCACACGTATAACTTTTAACTTTGCGTCAACTTTTGAGCTCAGAAAAATTGCAGAGAAACAGGACATTGCGACTAGAAAAAGAGCAATTTCATTCAAACTTGCACACTTGCACTGAAAAAGATTAGGAATGACTTATATGGCCAAGATAAATTGTTCTAAGTTGAACGATTTTAGAGTCTTTAATATTCACTCGTTCAAATGATACTCGAAACGCAGCAAATAACACCAAAAACTAGACTGCTTGTAATCTGTTGAGGGTCTCTTGGGGACTGTGTCGGCAATTCTGGGATCATCACCTGCTGATGTGTTGAGGTGAGATGTTGCGGAGATCATGATCGTGATTGCGTTTACCATCCGTGTCCCCATCCGTAGGAGGGTCCGTGGGACTTGACTGGGACGTAGACGGGCTTCTCAACCGGTACGTGAACGGGGTAAGGTTCCTTGACGGGCACCTTGACCGGGTAGGGCACCGGCCTTTCGACGGGGTATGGCACAGCCTTCTCGACGTGGACTGGGTACGGTTGTGGGACATGCACAGGGTAGGGTCTGTCGACTGGGACCTTCACCGGGTACGGGACATGCTTCTCGACTGGGTAAGGCACTGGCTTCTCAACAGGAACATGGACCGGGTAGGGACGGTCGACGGGGACTTGGACAGGGACAGGGACGTGCTTCTCGACAGGGTAAGGGACTTTCTTTTCGACGTAGACTGGGTAGGGTTTGGGTACGTGGACGGGGTAAGGCCTGTCGACGGGGACTTGGACGGGGTAGGGGACGCGCTTCTCGACGGGGTAGGGTGCAGGGACGGGGACTTGGACAGGGACGTGAACTTGTTTCTCAACGTGGACGGGGTAGGGAGCGGGGACTTGGACGGGGTAGGGGCGGTCGACGGGGACTTTGACGTGGACGGGGACCGGGACTTGTTTCTCGACGTGGACGGGGTACGGGACGGGGACCTCCTTGTTGATGGTGATGGTCTTCTCGATGGAGTGGCCGTGTCCGTAGCCGTATCCTAGGCCCTGGCCGTATCCTAGGCCCTGGCCGAATCCGCCGTTGAAGCCGTGGCCGCCGCCGAGGCCATAGCCGAATCCGCCGAAGTCACCGAAGCCGCTTCGCTTCTGCTTGTCGCCGCCCTCCTGCTTCTCCTGCTTGGCGGCTTCGTCGGCGAGGACGAGCGCAACACTGAACACTAAGACACAGAACACCCTCATTTTCGGAGGTGGTGGCGCGTGGATGGAGTGAGTGGAACTGATCGGGATGCTGCCGTGCTGGGGCTTTTCAATTCGGCGAGGAGGAAGTCGCGCGCCCAACTCCCTCCCCCGCCCCGGTGCCGCCGACGATGGGTCGACCTTGCTCGTGCAAATTCACTCGAGCAGATTTGGGGAACTGGACCCGCAGTTGCAAAAACAACGGTTCCTCTAGACTGCACTAACTTAATGCAGAGTTTAATTCACAATTTACTTGCACGAAAAAGGGAAGGTAGAGAGTGGCAGAGAAGTAATGTGGGTTGATGCAATAAGATGGTTTTTTCGTATGGGCCAGCCGACGAAATTTATGAATTTGATTGCTTCGTGCTTCAGCATTATTTATGTTCAATATCCTGTCTACAATCGTCGCGTCCGCAGTATCTTAATGGCAGTTTGAAAAACAATTTTTCAGAGCTCCACCCAATTTTTGCATGCTGCATCGAAGAAAGGTTGCCCGTCGATGAAAGGAGGAGTACCATCGATCTTTTCCGCCCCCCGCCCCCCATATATTTAGCTTATGGTTTATCATGTTTTCTAAATACTAGTCTTAGCTAGACTCCACGCCAAGTGCATAACAGCATGGAACCCGTAGAAAGGTGCACTTATAACCTCAAATCCAAAATCCTGGAATTGAAAAATGATATCTTTTGTCAAATTTCTGGTAGTTATCCTTCTTTTACGAGGTAATTCCTGCATAAGTTTTTTGCACACTTCCCATTGTTTGTTTATAAAAGCACTGGAAAAAAAACCACATCGGAACTATAGTCCAGACTCTGGAAAACATTGATAAGAAAAAATACTCTTGATTCAATCAGAATCTACCTTAAATCAAGAACCAAGCTTCTTAATTTAAGCGGATTTCGTTTTGATTCAAGCAAAAATCCGATTGAATCAAGAGTATTTTTTCTTGTCAATGTTTTCAAAAGTCTGGACTCTAAATCCAATGTGTTTTTTTTTTTCCAGTGAGGGCACCGATGAATTTAAAGGGGGCAGGGAAGGAAAAAAATCCGAGTTTATCGTTTTTGGATCATGGGCAATGCTTGCTCTGCAAACTCTTACTTCTAAGTGTAAATCGTCAACATGAATCGATCGGAAAAAGAAAACGTGAATCGATCGACGTGTACCGATCGACTCAAATTCGATCGACAATTAAAAAAATCTGGTGTCAATTTGATCGACATGAACTGATCGAAAAACTAAAACGTAAATCGATCAATAAGAATCCATCGACATCAATTTGATCGACAGTTAATTTGAAAAAAAAAAACTGGTATCGATTCGATCGACATGAATCGATCATAAAACCAAAACGGGAACCGATCAACAAGATTCGATTCACAAAGAGTCGATCGACAACCATGAATCGATCGAAAAACCTGTGAATTGGTCGATAAACCTGTGAGTCGATCGAATTTTGTCGATCGAATCGGTGTCGATGGAATCACGCTGATCGGTTCCCGCTTTCGACTGTCGATCGATCCACGTCGATCGAATTCTTACTCTCCTAATCCACGTTTTTTGACGTAAAATCTCGCTTTTCTGAGGATCTATAGGAGCTTTTTTGAATATTCGTTTGTTTGACCCACATTAGCCCTAATGTTTTTTTGCTCATCACTATACTCAGTGCTACTACATTATAACGAAATCAAAAGCAGGCCTTCATGTAAATATGTTAGGAACGCTAAAAAAAGGTCTCCATGCGTCAAGTAAGACGCATTTGTCGGTGCGCCTTCTTTTCTGTTGCTGCGTTAAAGTCTCTGGATTCATTCCCGTATTATGCAGTCTCGGTGATCTCTCGTGTGGTTCAGGATGATCACATGTTTAATTTAAAGGTGAAAAGGTGAAATACTTCGAAGTTTATATGAATGATTCCATAGTTTTCTATCTCAAATTAGACCAACGATTTTAATCCTAATTTTGAAATGGAAATGTGAATCAACCAATTTTAATGTTGTTTTCAAACGCTGATTTCGCTCATAGAAGCCAATTTTGAATGCTTCTGAGCCCTTGAATGTGTTTTGTGTGAACTTGTCATGAGAAAACATAATTCCTGGGTGCTATTTTCCCTCAGATTATAGCCTTGCTCTTTTACAAAATTGAATTTTCTCCTAAATAAAATTCGCAGAATCTCAAAGCACGCTTTACGTGAGAAATATCCTCGGATGAAAGGATGTGTTAACATCTCTAATTTTTGAGCTTTCTGGCGGTTTTTAAATGAATGCAGTTCACAGCTGAAAGATGCCTCCGGTTAATTTTTGTTATTGTAAAAAATAAAAAATATGTGCAGCGTTGTGGTAAGGCTCCTCATGTTTCTTCTTGCAGACTGAGGTACACAACGATACTGCCGTGCTAGGGAAGAACGCCGTATGAATATTCGAGAGTTGCATGCCTTTCCTTCGATAAAATCTTCTTTTTTTAGGAAATTTATGAATATTTTCTCTTGAAATTTTCAGGACTTTTCGGTGAAATTGGGAGCAAATTTATCTTGAAATCCTGAAGAAAAATATCCTTAAGTTTCCAGGAAAATAGTGTTTCATCAAAGACAAATTGGCAACACCTGAAGGTTTATACGGCGTTCTTCCTAGGGCAGTACGGTAACCCTACAAACAATTAATGTAAGGGTAGAGAAACGAGGGTTGAGGCTTACGTAGTCATGACAAACATGAAAGAAATAACAATACGACAATAATATGAATGAAAGAAACACGAAATTGTTTTGCCCAGTTGCCTAGAATGCCTTGACATTCTTAACCGGTAAAAAAAGAAAAACTCATTTGTTCATGGTTAGTTTTTAAAGTAATAGATTTTTTTGATGGTCGATGTTGCCTAAAATGCAACATTCTTTATCTTAAGTTTTTGAAATGATACACTTTAATTTCTCCTGATACTGTTACGGTCAATAATTCCGAAATAACTGGGCAAAAGGTTCCGTGATACATTCACTCTTATGCCGTTTTTCTGTTTCTTTGATTATTTTCTCATGCTTTCCTGCAAATTTTTAATAATTGGACGTATTTCTATCGAACGGAACTATGTGCATAAAGACATGAGCCCTGAGACCTATAAAGATATGTACATAACAGGGCTTATGTCATAATGCACATAGTTCCGTTTGATAGAAATACGTCCAATTATCTTTAGTTCTCACTCATTTATTCACTTTATTAACGGATTAGGATTATAAGAATCATTTTGTTTCTTAGTTTTCAATTATTATTCCATACGCGGTTCCACCTGATGACCTTTTTACTGATTCAAGAAGCGATGTGGTACAGAGCTTCTCCAATCATTTTCATTAGAGCAACAGTTAGACTACATTTTGCATTTAGGAACTGTAAATTCTGGCTCGGTTTAAAAACAACGTATGTGCCATTAGTTTCCCTATGCACATAAGTGTTTTTTCAGATGCGCCAGAATTTATAGCTCCAAATTTCAAAATACAGTCCAGTTATTCCATTCCTAATCTACAAACACTGTCGGACTCAGAAATTTGGTAGCATCGTTTCCTCTCCATTGAAACCCATGGAAATGAATCGATTCTCGGAAGAGCTAGGTGCTCTGACAAGAATCGATTCATTTCCATGGGTTTCAATGGAGAAATGTCATTTTTTCCGACCTGCTGGGTCCGTTCATGTTTATAATGAAGCTCCTTTGAAAGACGTACGATCCAACATTAGAAAAGAGCATAAAATATAAGCCACAATTTTATGGGACTTTTGATTTAATGATGAAAGCATTTCAATTCAAATATTGAACTTCAGATTTTGAAAAAAAGAAGAAACAAATCTAAATGCCAATTTTGCTTAAAAAATTAACTTAATATTTGTCTAGTCTGTATGCATTTTATTCAAAACGATGTCCTGCTTACAGGTACCAAAGTTTGCAATTCAAATTATTACCTATTTGTTGTCATAATAATTTAATGTTGAAGTTTAATAGATAAAAAATTATATATGCTCTAATATTTGTGGAGGATAGGCTTTAATTTTCAAAATATTTTTCGTAAGATTTTCCTCCCGAAATTGATCAATCTTTTAAGTACAAAGCTTGGAGAAAAATGGAAAGAGTAATAAAAAAACAAGGAAAAATAACATTTACAAAACAAAATTGACTGTAATTTTTTTTTTACTTCAGTGCTTAACGATAAGTACAACATTTATTTACAATTATCTTATTTTGAACGAAGTTTAAGGACACTTTTTTTCAATAATTTTTCAGAAACTATTTGAATTAGTGGCGCAGATGATGTAACGGTAACCTTTAATAACGGTCCAAATCATGAAAAAAAAAAATCGAAATTTGTTTGGTATTATTTATAATCATTCTCCGCATGACATTGTTGATACACTGAAAATCTTCTGATTTAACTAATTTGAATGCATTTGAAAGATGAATAATCGGTATCTAAAGTTTAGACGTACTTATTTGAAGGAATAACTCCATTTGAAAGATTGGTGTAAATTGATTTGAAAAAAGGGGAGAACATTAAAAAAAAAATAATAAAAAGATATCTCGTGCAACCTACCGTTCCACTCATTCCATACAACACACTTTTATCACTCTTCATTAAAGCATTGCGTCAATTAATGAGCACTAAAAGATGAATACATTCATCCAAACTTGCACTTGAAAAGTTTAGGAATGACTAATTTGGCCGAGGTAAAGTATTCTACAAGGAACTACAAGATTATTCAATATTCACTCTTGCGAATGTTGGTTTAAACGAAGTAAATAACAGAAATATAGCCGCATAAAATGAACTGTTTATATCCTGTTGAGAGTATCCTGGAAACTGTGTCGGCACCATGGGCATCATCAACTGTTGATGTGTTGAAGTGAGTTGTTGCGGAGATCATGATCGTGTTTGTGTTTACCAGCCGTGTCCCCATCCGTAGGAGGGTCCGTGGGACTTGACTGGGACGTAGACGGGCTTCTCAACCGGTACGTGAACGGGGTAGGGTTCCCTGACGGGCACCTTGACCGGGTAAGGCACCGGCCTTTCGACGGGGTATGGCACAGCCTTCTCAACGTGGACTGGGTACGGTTGTGGGACATGGACAGGGTACGGTCTGTCGACTGGGACCTTCACCGGGTATGGCACATGCTTCTCGACTGGGTAAGGCACTGGCTTCTCAACAGGAACATGGACCGGGTAGGGACGGTCGACGGGGACTTGGACAGGGACAGGGACGTGCTTCTCGACAGGGTAAGGGACTTTCTTTTCGACGTAGACTGGGTAGGGTTTGGGTACGTGGACGGGGTAAGGCCTGTCGACGGGGACTTGGACGGGGTAGGGGACGCGCTTCTCGACGGGGTAGGGTGCAGGGACGGGGACTTGGACAGGGACGTGGACTTGTTTCTCAACGTGGACGGGGTAGGGAGCGGGGACTTGGACGGGGTAGGGGCGGTCGACGGGGACTTTGACGTGGACGGGGACCGGGACTTGTTTCTCGACGTGGACGGGGTACGGGACGGGGACCTCCTTGTTGATGGTGATGGTCTTCTCGATGGAGTGGCCGTGTCCGTAGCCGTATCCTAGGCCCTGGCCGTATCCTAGGCCCTGGCCGTAGCCGCCGTTGAGGCCGTTGAGGCCCTGGCCGAATCCGCCGTTGAAGCCGTGGCCGCCGCCGAGGCCATAGCCGAATCCGCCGAAGTCACCGAAGCCGCTTCGCTTCTGCTTGTCGCCGCCCTCCTGCTTCTCCTGCTTGGCGGCTTCGTCGGCGAGGACGAGCGCAACACTGAACACTAAGACACAGAACACCCTCATTTTCGGAGGTGGTGGCGCGTGGATGGAGTGAGTGGAACTGATCGGGATGCTGCCGTGCTGGGGCTTTTCAATTCGGCGAGGAGGAAGTCGCGCGCCCAACTCCCTCCCCCGCCCCGGTGCCGCCGACGATGGGTCGACCTTGCTCGCGCAAATTCACTCGAGCAGATTTGGGAGACTGGATCCGCAGTTGCAAAAAATAACGGTTCCTCTAGACTGTACCGACCTGATGCAACGTTCTGCACATTCTCAACTTGCAAAAGAAAGGAAAGAAAGTGAGAATGGAGTGAAGAAAAAAATGTGGTCTTAGGGGGTTTATTTAGTACTTAACCGATAGCAAGGATGTATCGACCGCGTTTTGAAATTTTGAAAACCGATTTTTTGTTCCGTCAAATTTGTTTGACCTTACAATTATCCTTCTACAGGCCGATAGTGATTTGACCTGTGTTTTAGGGAAATTTTTTGAATTTTTCTTTACTGTTAAAAATATTCGTTTTTTTGTGTTACTTTTGGTTCATATTGGATGTGAAACACAAACCAACACAATCTTGTGTTGATTCTGCCACAGTTTTCGGTGAAATGAACAGGGAAATTAAATTCCTTCGATTTCGATGTTGGTTTCATTTCTATATTTGGTTCCCTCAAGAAAATTGGCTGGCATTTTCTTTTGAAATCGTCAAAACCGAAGGCTAGGATTATTTTGTGTTTCGCTTCCCATTTCAACCAACCGTTTGTGTTGAAATTTGTCTCTATGTAGTCCTTTATCACCTCAATGTTTCATAATTAATGCGTTTACGATCTTTGCTTGAAAGTTTTACGTGATTGACTGGAAAGTTTGAAATACGGGCCATGAAAAACCACAAACAGCTCAGACAACCAAATCTGAACACAACCCTCAAAATAAACGGGCTGACTATCCCTTACAATCTGCATCTCGATTCTTTTAAATTCAATGTTTGTTACTTCAGAAGTGTCATTCAAATATCATATCGAACGTTTCAGATCGACAAATCCATATTTGAACCATTCTAACGTCATATTCGTCAATTGAGGTCGTTAATAGCGATATAAAAATCGATACGTCGGAGACCTAAACGCAAAGATAGAAAAATAAACCACCAATTCTTTCACATATATACCTGTAGGAAAAATAAGTTCCCTGCAGGTTACACATGACACGAGAACAGAAATATCACCTCACCCTGATGTATTTCTAATATTCCCGATTCATTCTCATTCAATAGCATATATCCTTTTCTTTATCAATCGGGTCTAATTCATTGCCTCTCATCACTTTTTTTCGTCTATTTTCCACAATTTTCATGTAATTTAATGTTATTTTTAAGCACCAATATTCAAAATAATCTGAGTGTCATCCGAATTTTTTCACAGATTCTTTTTTGGCCCTGACTACACATATTTAACATGATTTATCCCTGATATTGACATTTATTCGGACAATACTATTTGTTCTAAGCATTCCATATTCGCTTGATTATCCTATTCTGTCCTAGTTACAAACCTTTCTTTAACCTGGTTTCCCCATCCATGCCTATATGTACTCTTATATTTCAGTTAATCTAATCTATTAAATTTCAATTACGACCTCTGGGTTAGAATTGCCTTGCAGCGCTGCACAGTTTTGCTACCACAAATCGATTTATTTACATAAGAACGATGATAATTATTTTGCTCAGCACTTTTTGTGGTATTTTTGTTGATTTGACGGGAACTTTCTGAAATTTTCGCCGCAAGGTATGCATTGATTGATAAAGTAAGAAATAATCTTTTAAGTGAAATATCGAAACACAATTAATTGATCAAGTCCCACTAGCTCTCACCTCTTTTTTTCATAGTACGCACCTCAGAAAAAGCGAACAAATTCATTTAAAAAATATAAATAAAAAAGGAATTTCTAAATTAATAGATTCATAGCGCACATACGATGTATTCACATGATAAAAAAATGAAGAATTAAAGAAATTATACCGATTTATTTACACTTACTATGCAATCACTCATGGAGCACCATTGTCAGCAAGTGCAAAAAGTAACTGCGTGGTCTCCTAAGAAGATTTTCTTTTTTACCTTAAAAAACTAACAATTTCTTAATTTTCTATGAAAATTTAGGAAAGGTGAGTAAGCGCTTAGTATCATATCAAGTTAAATCACGGCAAAATAAGCCAGCACCATTGCAATGCATAACTGGTAGCCCTGTCGGCCCTGTACTCGTACAGTTTCGACAGTAGTTTTTAGCAAGACCGGATTTTTTACACTCATTTAAGTATTTAGACCTCGAAAATCCTCGTTTTTTTCTGCGTTTCTCTGCTCGTCACGTTGATACACAAGATGCAGTGGCATGGCGTGTTTTGCGATATATCGATTGATCTGAAATTTAAACCTATGAAAAAGGATCGATAAACAATGTGTAAGCAACCAACACCTTAATACTCGATTCTATAACACAATTTCAAATGAGGACGATAATCGATCATTCATACCTCGCAAACTGACAAGATGCATCCATGCCTTGGCAGTGACAAGCTGTCGATAAGTTGATTGGCGGTCGAGTCTTTTGGAAATAAACGATCCAACTAACAAAAATATCCTTTTTGGATGGATGAATCATTCATGCCTTCTTTGAGGCGATTGAAAATATATCATTTGCATTTTTAACTTACCGAGCGCCACCCTTTACCTTTTTGCAGTAAAAGGTTGAATTATATGTCCGCCACAGATTTTTTTTTTTAAAAAAAAGAAAAAGAAAATGTTGCTTATCTTCTTTTTACAACACTTATGCCAGTTATATCGTTTCAGAGCCAACATGTCACTTACGTCCTCCTTGACAAGAATGATCATTACTTTTCATTAAAGAAAATAGCTGACTTGTTTTCACAAGTGACGTGTCACAACTTGATGAGTGGTTTGTATTACAGTGTAGGTCAATTTTTGTTTTTAATAGCCCCTTTAACCTAATTTTATTTTGGTTTCTTTCTCGCGACCAGAAAGTACGCATCAACTAACTTTCATGTTGATTTCGCGCTCTAATTTTTCTCATGTAAGCTAATTTTAAGTGTAATTGATGCATTGAATGTGCTCAACGCAAAACAAGGAAACATTACACCGCACAACACATTTAGAGTGTTTGTTTACCTTCGAACCAAACCAATTTTGTTCGATTCCTTGGTGATATAGAAGGCCAAAAATGCCCACAATAACGTCAGGAAAATTGTCTGGTGCTCAGGGCGCCGCGCGTCGCTACTTTGAATTTTTCAAATTTGAAAAAACCCACAAGCAGTTTTTTGGAAATATCTCCTCAACGGTTAATTTTACGTAAAAAATAAAAAAAACAGCGGGGAGCATAAAATTTCCTATCGAAATCACTCTCTCTTTCCTTTCCTAGCTTAATTTTTGGATCCTAAAATTAACGTTTCCATCAATAATTAACTTAAAAAAGGTGCATTTTTGCTGATTTTTGGAGAAACTTTGGTTCATATCTCCAACCAGGATTATCTGAGAAAAAAACTGTTAAGCTCATTGAAAAGACGGTAAAATTTACTTTTGAGACTATTTCGCCACCTTGTTACACAGTCTGGGTTACGTTTTTAGGGTATTTTTTCTCTTTTTTTCTTGATTGTAAGGTAAATGGTCTACAAAATGACATTTTTATAAGGGCGGATCTAATAAACTACTGTTTCAACGGATTAAGCCAAGCTTTGAAACTTTTGACATTATGTCTCCTAAAAGTCTATTTTACGCTCTTTTCAATGAGCTTAACAGTTTTTCCTCAGATAATCGTGGCTGGAGATATGAAAAGAAGTTTCTCCAAAAATCAGCAAACTCGCTTGCTACATTAGATTCCGGGAAGACATTGATCTGGTGGCCATTCACTCGGGATTGGTCGCTGATAAATCCATCAATTGCCATCTGGCAAAGAATGTTGGATTTGACGGCATTGAAAAGATAATCGGTGAAAGTTTTAAATCAGTTAAATTCAAATTAGCTGACCGGTGCAAACCAATCGCCACCATGAAAAATGGATTGCGTGTCGGTGATGACGTGATTCCCGTCGATCCAACCTTACTGTTCCGGAGAATCAGCATAGCCAAAAAATCTGACGAGGAGCTTGAACAGTACTTATCTTTTGAGCTTTCACCATTTCCTCTCGCTTTATTCAATTATGATGGGATGCGAAAAGGTACTAAATCGTCCTTGTTCAAATGCTTCACGCCGTATGAGGGCGAGGATCACGCGAATGACCCCAAGTACGTCATTGACGGCGGATGGCTCCTCCATCGGGTAGTTTGGCAGAGGGGTGACTCATTCAAGGAAATCTGTGAGAGATATGTTTCATACGTTGCTTCCAATTACTCACTTAACTCAATTGTTGTGTTTGATGGCTACCCCGAAGATGCTGTAGAGAAGAGCACAAAGCATGTGGAGCGAATGCGTAGGGAAAAAATGTCTTCATCAATGGAAGTAAAATTTGATGAAAGCATGACCCCAAGAATGACGCAAGAAAAGTTTTTATCAAATGGGAAAAACAAATGCCGTTTAATTGGTATGATGAGAATCATTTTTGAAGCACAGAACTTTCAGGTCCTCCAAGCAAAAGAAGATGCGGATTCTTTAATTGTTCGAACAGCAATCGATGCCGCGCGATATCAAACAGCAGTAATTGTTGGCGAGGATATAGATTTGCTGGTTATAATGACAGCGCAATCGGTTAATTACGACAATGTTTTTTTTATGAAGCCGGGGAAAGGCAAGACACCGCAGAAAATTTACAGCCATTACAGCCTCGAGGATGAAACTGCGAAAAACAACATCCTTTTTTTACACGCAATCAGTGGATGTGACACGACTTCGGCTCTGTTCAACAAAGGCAAAAATAAGTTTATGAAGATTCTATCCAAACATCCTCATTTAATTCCTCGAGCTCAGCTTTTCAGGGACTCGAACGCCACGCAAGATGAAATCGCCGCAGCAGCTAATGAACTTTTCCTCTACGTCTACGGATACACAGGCACTAAGCGAATAAGTCTTAACAAATTCAGGTACAACTGCTTTGTTAAGACTGCGTTCCAAACTAAACAAAATCTTGCATCATTGCCGCCCACCGAAGATGCTGCAAAACAACATGCGCTTCGCGCTTATCACCAGGTGCAGTTGTGGCAAAGCACAGAAAAGAATCCACTTGATTGGGGCTGGAAGAGCACATCTACAGGGTTGATACCAATCACAACGGTACAAAATCCTGCTCCCGATGCATTACTCAGGACGATCTCCTGCAAGTGCAAAAAAGGCTGCCGTGGCGCATGCAGTTGCAGAAAAAGCGGACTTCAGTGCAGCATCGTATGCGCAAACTGCCACCAATCGTGTGAAAATGCCGCAAAGACTGATCTTGTCATTGAAGAAGAAGAAGAAGATGCTGCAGAAGACAATATACCCGTGAATGAAATGATAGAGGAAGATGCAGACATTTTAGAATCGTCTGAATCGGGCGATGAATTGGACACAAGCAACAACAATCCATGTGACTCAACCTTCGAATCTGAGGACTTCGAAATGCTCGCCCAACCAGGACCATCAAATGCTGAATTGCCATTCACCCTTAGAAGCTCAAAAAGAGCCCGCCTCAATTAAGCGCAATGTGAAGTCAAAACACGCAGAACAATGATAAGATGAAGGATGCGGCCTGAGCTGAGCCGGTTTAATCGAATATTGCCACTTGAACCGACTCAGCTCAGGCGGCGGGAGTTTTAGTGGGTACGCCAAAAAATGATGGTAAGTCCCACACGCCCCTCTGTTTGGTTCCTAGCTACCAGAGAGGAAGTCTATAAAAGATTTCTCCCGCCTACCAAAAAAAAAAAAAAAAAAAAAAAAAAAAAAAATATGAGAAACCAACCGCGCGGAGGCAGCGCGCATAGGTGACACGGCGAGGCGGCGCGCCTCCGAGGCAGGGCGACGCGGCAGGGTATGTAGATGATGCCGATTTGGGCATTTTTTTATGGTTTTTTCTTTTCAGAATGCTGCTCGGGGATGTTTCCTAACGTTTACATGGCAAAACCATAATAAATTTTACGTTCCGCCGAATTTAAAATGCATGATTTCCACAGAAAGTGAAAAATAGGTAGATTTGCTGAAATTTCAGCGGATTTCTGAAGTTTCAATTTTTGTCGTACGCTCATGAAAGAGAACCCTTCCTGTCGGAAATTTTACGCTCTTTCTTTGTGAAAATAACTCATTTTGCCTGAAAATGCATATTTCGCGAGATATTTAGACTTTTTGACAAAAAAACGAGATTTGGCAACGTTTTTTCCAAAATGGCGGCTGTTCCGGGGGTTTTTTTTGTTGGCAAAGTTGAAATTCGGATTCTACGCAAAAAATCACATAAGAAAAGTGTCTCTCAAATTATGTTGGGATTTTTTCCAGTGAACATGCTATTATTCCTGGACTATATGCCGCAAATAATTATCCATGTTTGAGCTTCCTGCAGTTTTTTTTTTTTTTTTTTTTTTTTTTTTTTTTTTTTTTTTTTATAAACAATTAGTTCATTATGTGAAACCTTCTAAAGTTGATTGATTGCTTTATTTAAGGTAGGAGAGTAGTACTGGGCTCACACTGTTCTAAGGGGGGAGAAAAGGCCAAAAATGTCCAGAAATTTTCATTGGATTAAAAACTTTGAACTCTAGCAAGTTTGTGTTAGTGCAAGACTTAGGGAGAGATGGTTCAACCCGGACACATATGAACTGCAGCACTAAGCTGAGATCACGCCTTCTCCCTCCTTATTCTTACACTACAAATGATTATTAGAGCTCAAATTTTTTAATCTAATGAAAATTTATGGATTTTTTAGTCTTAATATTCCCGCCAAGTAGTGTAAACGCAGCAATATTCTGCCTTTTTGGTACTTAAAATATGAGCCAAATGTTTAGTCTTTTTTTTCTTGCTTATTTATTTATCTTTCTTTTATTTATTGCAAGAAAAGAGCAAGAAAAATGAAGCAAAAGCAAAAATTCTGTGCACCGTTTAAAAAACTCTTCAATCTTCCAAAATGCAGATTGAGAGAACATGGAAGCAAAAAGAGGACACTTCTCCGTTGCAATGTTTCAAAAGTATCATTGTCGCTTTTTTTGTAAGGAAAATAATGAATTATTAAACGTGAGATTTGTGCTGAATATATTGTTAAACTATGAGAAATATATATTCACTTAGATTTAGTCCCTTCAAACATGCTTTTTTCTCTTAAGAGTAAAAATGTAAAAGAAACTTCTGAAACTTTGAATCTGAAAAGTGCCCTTTTCTCTAATGGGTCGATCATTTTCTATCCACATAGTGTGAAAAAATTTAAGAATAGAGAAGAAAAGAAGAAAATACCACATTTTCAGGACAAAAACTGACTAAATTTTTATTTTACTTCAGTTTTTAACAGCAGGTAGAAAAAAATTTAAAAATACCTAATTTTCAACATTTTAAAACACCAGTTGATTTAAACATTTTTAACAAATTTAATGAGTCAAAAGTAGGAAAATACATGGTAACACCTTGTGAGTATTTAAGTATTTAAATGTGAGATCCTTCTGCTCAAGATTATTTACTCATTCTTCGCAAAGCTTCTTGATTTAATAAAAAATGACGTTCTCTGCCTCAGAAAAAATTTTGATTGAAATCGCAGACTTAAAAACTTGTTTTAAATACTGATTTCAGGGCTGATCCTAGGTTTTTAATTTAATAAAATGGCAGAAAATACAAACAACTGAGTCTAAAAAATTGAATAAATGCTATATAGTTCCACTCATACCTGTCAACACACGTTCATCACTTGTCACATTAAATTTCTAGGAAACCTTTGAACCCGAAGGTATTCAAGAAAAATGCAGGACCTTTGGGACTAGAAAATTAAACATTTTATCCAAGTTAAAACACTTGCACCAAAAAGTTAACAAATTAATAATTAGGCCACGGTACAGCATTAGACTTTAAGATTAAAGAGTTTTTAATATTCACTTCTTCAAATAAGAGTCAAAGCGAAGCAAATAACACCAAAAAATGGACTGCTTGAATGCTGATAAGGGTCTCCTGGGGACTGTGTCGGCAATTCCGGGATCAGCACCTGCTAACGTGTTGAAGTGAGTTGTTGCGGAGATCATGATCGTGTTTGTGTTTACCAGCCGTGTCCCCATCCGTAGGAGGGTCCGTGGGACTTGACTGGGACGTAGACGGGCTTCTCAACCGGTACGTGAACGGGGTAGGGTTCCCTGACGGGCACCTTGACCGGGTAAGGCACCGGCCTTTCGACGGGGTATGGCACAGCCTTCTCAACGTGGACTGGGTACGGTTGTGGGACATGGACAGGGTACGGTCTGTCGACTGGGACCTTCACCGGGTATGGCACATGCTTCTCGACTGGGTAAGGCACTGGCTTCTCAACAGGAACATGGACCGGGTAGGGACGGTCGACGGGGACTTGGACAGGGACAGGGACGTGCTTCTCGACAGGGTAAGGGACTTTCTTTTCGACGTAGACTGGGTAGGGTTTGGGTACGTGGACGGGGTAAGGCCTGTCGACGGGGACTTGGACGGGGTAGGGGACGCGCTTCTCGACGGGGTAGGGTGCAGGGACGGGGACTTGGACAGGGACGTGGACTTGTTTCTCAACGTGGACGGGGTAGGGAGCGGGGACTTGGACGGGGTAGGGGCGGTCGACGGGGACTTTGACGTGGACGGGGACCGGGACTTGTTTCTCGACGTGGACGGGGTACGGGACGGGGACCTCCTTGTTGATGGTGATGGTCTTCTCGATGGAGTGGCCGTGTCCGTAGCCGTATCCTAGGCCCTGGCCGTATCCTAGGCCCTGGCCGTAGCCGCCGTTGAGGCCGTTGAGGCCCTGGCCGAATCCGCCGTTGAAGCCGTGGCCGCCGCCGAGGCCATAGCCGAATCCGCCGAAGTCACCGAAGCCGCTTCGCTTCTGCTTGTCGCCGCCCTCCTGCTTCTCCTGCTTGGCGGCTTCGTCGGCGAGGACGAGCGCAACACTGAACACTAAGACACAGAACACCCTCATTTTCGGAGGTGGTGGCGCGTGGATGGAGTGAGTGGAACTGATCGGGATGCTGCCGTGCTGGGGCTTTTCAATTCGGCGAGGAGGAAGTCGCGCGCCCAACTCCCTCCCCCGCCCCGGTGCCGCCGACGATGGGTCGACCTTGCTCGTGCAAATTCACTCGAGCAGATTTGGGGAACTGGATCCAGTCGCCAAAACAACGGTTTCGCCAGGCTGCGCTGACCTATCGCAATATTTGACGAATTCTTCACTTGCGAAAAAAAAAAGGAGCGGATAAAATGTGTGGGCTGGTTCAGTGTGAACCGACGATGAGCCGATAGTTTCGACATATGGACCATGCTTAATTCGATTTTTGTCTTTTTACTTCGTTATTTTGACTTCATCAGTCATTGGTTATCATAGCCCCGGCTAGAACCTCGAATATTCTGACTCCGCTTTGAATGATTAATATCAGAATTTTAATCAATGAGTGGAATATACTTATTCTATTGTCTCGAGGAAAGAGCTTCACATTTTTTAGTTCAAGCGCTCATTCAATTAATCGCGGTGCGAAGACTCTTTTTTACCTCATCCTCTTCCGTTTAAGGCAGTTTTTTTTCTTCTCAAAAAATAGCGAGTGTATCGAATTGGTTAATGAGATTTGTGTTACGCATTTCCAATTTCCAGCCTTTAAAGTTTTGGATGAGCAAATTCATTTTATCATTTGAAGTTAAAATTAATTTATTTATAAATATCTTGGTGTACCTAAAAAAAACTCAAAGTTTTGATATTGCTTATAATATTTTTTGATGTTATCCAACGTTTTAAATGATAACCATATTATATGCAAGTACTAACCAGTGTTCCCGGGTGCTCCGTGTACGAGATCCGTACGCTTTACCGCTCTCCGTGCTACTATTGGCTGAGCGTCATTCTGTGACGTCACGCGTACGGATATTTTAAGATAGGGAAGCGTTTTTCCCATAAGGTTTTTGTCCGTACGCGGTCCATGTCGGTATAGGGAATGTCCGCGCGGCACGGATAAATCCGTACGCCTGGCATCACTGGTACTAACGCGCACATAAATTTGTGTAACTCGCATGGTAATACAGCAAACATTCTAATTTTATTCGCATTCTAGATCACCTATCCTCTGCATGCAACATTCAAAATTTTCTTTCGGTTTCTAATAGGTTAATGATGTCCAAGATATAAACTCCCTTTCTTCAATAATAGGTAATCCCTTAATAGAGTGACTAGATATAATAAGTAGACATTTTTTTCTTCTATTCTACCTGATCGTGAGATAATCGTAGGTTAAGCTTCAGTGTTCATACTCTCACTTTAAAGGTATTCTTGTAGTCCCGAGGCAAGATCAAGCGGTTTGAGACAGTGGCGTGGCGTATTTTGTGACATATAGATCGATCCGTCATAACCTGTAGAAAAGGATCGATAAACAGGGTGCTCTCAACGGGCACTTTAAAAATCGATTATTTACCGCAGCTTCAAATGAGGAAACATATCGATAATCGATCATTCACGCCTCGCCACTGGTTTGAGAACCATTTATCTAGTGCACTAGCTCCACGGATATTTTGCAGGTTACGACGAGTATATGCACATGCACCGACTGTCGCGCATATCGATATCATTTTCCTGGTTGTTTTACAACTCAGCGTAACATAGTTTGGCTCCTCTCGTCGCTCCTGTGACGTAAGGGTGTATCTCAACGTCTACGTGAGCCCTGTTATCCATATAATGCCATTCTTTCCGGGGCTCATATGGAAATAGAGTTACTCCCTTACGTCAGAGGAGTGACGCTCTGAGGAACGGTCGACAACCGCTCTCTCTCCCCGCATTGTGACTTGGTTCTTCCGTTGGATTTGCATTTGCAAGCAAAGGATAACAGGAGTAGCAACGATCTGTCTACTGCGCTTTCTCAGTACTCAATACTCTAGGATTAATGTCACCCCATATGATGCCCACGAAACTCTCGGAAGTAAGCTCTGGTTTGCGTCGTTGCGTGTTGGCTATTATAAATTGCTATTTCCTCGTCATGGAAGTCATTTGATTAAACACTGGACAGACTCTTCATCTACAAGATCTTTTGTTTGGAGGTTGCTTGTCTTTCAATTGAGGGGCTTAGAGAACAACAAGGCGGATAAGTGCCGTTTTTGATATTTCGAGAAATATGTGATTGAAGTTTCGAAATTGCATGGATCCTTATGGCTAGTAAGTATCCATAGGTAAGTGTTGGATATTTAAAATTGCTGTTTCTCCGTCATGAAAGTAATTTGATTATACACTGGACAGACTCTTCTTCTACTAGATCTTTCATTTGAATGTGCGCGTCTGCGCGTCCTTCAATTTATTGAGGGAAAATTCGGATAAGTGCGTCGTTCTTGCTATTTCCAGAAATGCGTGTTTGAAGTTTCGAAATTGCATAGAACCATATGGCGACAAAAAAGATCAACCTGACTTTTTGATGCATAAAAATTGGAATTTGGTAGCGAATTTTTCACAAAACATGCATAAAGCCTAGCTTTACATGGAGTCATTAATATCTCGATTTTTCAAAATTGGGCTTATGCGCTTTGTCAGCTATGCACCTCAATTTTGGTTGAAGAGTGAAACTGTTACTTAATTAAATTAAGCTCGTTTCCGTGGCAACCGTTCGCCATAAAATTTATTTTCGACGAAAGTACCTTTTATTTAAACTTCAAAGTTTTTGGAGTATTCAGTATTCTTTTAGTCGGTGTTCGATCAAGAATGTAATCGAGAGGCTTATGGCCCCCACCAACAGTGTTCCTACATTAGAAGTATCCATCAGTGGACCTTTTGACCTAACACTGAAGTTTCCTGAAGTTGTCAACTCTGTCCTCTCCTCATTCATAACTACGGCGAAGAATTTATTTTTAGAGGAGCCGATGCTGCACCAAAAATTAATTTTGGCGAATTTTCGCGACTGGGTTCGGTCGAGTTTTTCAACCAGATCGGCAGGGTCGCAAGTTAAAGGAGAAGAGCGTTCTGCTAAAGTCGAGAACTAGACAGTGGCCTGATTATTGAAATTGATAGAGAAAGCTATAGACAAAGAAGACAGAAGAGGTATGGAGGGATCCTATTGGTGGAAGCGCGTGGTTGCAATGGACAAAGGAGGTAGGTGATAGACCAACCCACGAGAGACCCAATAGTTAGTCCATAATTTTCTCCCTTAGTCTATAGGAACCAACCATTTCAACCAATAGAATCGCTCCATACTCCCTATGTCGTCTTTGTCATAGCTTTGTCTATCAATTTCAAGAATCAGCCCGCTGAATTGAGTTATGACTTTTGGCCAACATTTGAAAAAAAAAACACATTAGATCTAGAGTCCAGGCTCTTGAAAACATTGACAAGAAAAAGGACTCTTGATTCAATCAGATTTAAGTTTAAATCAAAAGGAAATCCGCTCAAATTAAGAGGCTTGGTTCATTAATTAAGCTTAAGTCTGATCGAATCGAGAGTATTTTTTCTTGTCGATGTTTTTAAGTGTCTGGACTCTAGATACAATGTGTTTTTTTTCCGTAACGCCTGCAAGACTGAAGGAATACCTCACGCGTTGCGCCAAACAGTGCGGTCAGCGCACCAGCCCACATCAGCGCCTACAGGACTGCATGAATACTTCTCGCATTGCGCCAAACGCACTGCAGTCGGTTGGTTGGCCTGAAACGCATATTTTAGCGCGTACACTGAAAAAAAAACCATTGGATCTAGAGTCCAGGCTCTTGAAAACATTGTCAAGAAAAGATACTCTTGATTCAATCAGATTTAAGCTTAAATCAAAAGGAAATCCGCTCAAATTAAGAGGCTTGGTTCTTGATTTAAACTGGATTCTGATTGAATCAAGAGTATTTTTTTTTGCCGATGTTTTTAAGAGTCTGGACTCTAGATCTAATGTGTGTTTTTTTTTTCCAGTGAACGTTTAATTGCATCCATCCATCCCCTTTTTGATTGTTGCACCTCCCAAAAACCCGGGAGTTTTGAACTGAGGGTGACGCTTGGGCAAGGAGATCAAAATCCAGCATCCCGCAGCCGAAGAAACCCGTTGGCCCGGCGGTTCAGTAAACTGGCGCGCGGGGGCCTTCACCTTGATCATGAGCCTCCGCGAGGCGCGGCGTCGCAACGCGTGGTGTAGAGGCGGCCTCGCCGCGCCGCGGACCCGTCGGCCGTCGCGTCATCGGCAGCCGAATGTAGGTACCGTTGAGCGGCGCTACTCGCTCGAGATGGCGATCGTGAGAGGAAAAGTGACCGTTGCCGCTTGCGTCACACCGGAGTCCACTTTCCTTTTTCGTCGGCGGCCCCGGCCCCCGACCGGGTGCACCCGCCGTCCAAAAGTCAAGGCCGCGCCTTCGCCACAGACCCGCCAATTTTTACCTCCGCCACGCGAGATTTCGCGACTTCCGAGCCTGGTTATGGCGACGATTTTCAAGATGCGCGGGAAATCCCAGCTGCCGGCTCATTATTGAAATCGAAAGACGCAGCAATGGACAAAGAAGACATAGGGATGGAGCGATCCTATGGGTTGAAATGGGTGTATCCTATAGACTGAGGGAGAAAGTGATGGACTTGCTAAAGAGTCTCTGACATAGACATAGGGATGGAGCGATCCTACGGGTTGAAATAGGTGTATCCTACAGACTGAGGGAGAAAATGATGGACTTGCTGTAGGGTCTCTCGTGGGTTACCGTTGGTTAGTGTATTACCTATCTCCTTTGTACATTGCAACCACCTGTCTCCACACATAGGATCCCTCTACATCCTTTTTGTACTCTTCGGCCACAGCTTTGTCTATTAATTTCAATAATCGGTCCGCTGCTGGCTCATTATTGAGATTGATAGACAAAACGATGGACAAAGATAAAAAATGGAGCTATCCTATCGTTTGAATCGGGTGATTGCAATGGACAAACACAATAAGTAATAGACTATAAAAAAAGTACATAATAGTCTAAAAAGTATAAAAGTATAAAGAAAAAGTACAAAGCAAACGTTGATGAAAATTGTTGTATTTGATCATCGTTTAGACAAACTTTCAATTTTATGGAGGCTCGTCGTGGGAAAACTCACGATCAGTTT